AATAATGTTTTTGATACCTTTCTAGGTCGCTTTTATATTTTTCATTTTTTTATTTTAGTATTTTTTTCCTTTCTTTGAGTTTAGATTGGAGGTTGTTACGAAAAGGTTGGCTTTCTTTAAGTTTAGATTGAAGGTTATTACGAAATATTTTATACTCATTATGAAATATGGTTTTATTTCTTTAATTTTTAGACCTAATATATATTTTTAAAGAGATTGTTTTTGTGCTGTATAGAGTGCTTGATGTCATCTGATATCCATACTTTAGTCTTGAATTTGATACTTTGTTTGTTAAATTTTTCAAAAGGCGTGTGGATATCAAGCAGTCAGAAATAGTATTCTCAAGAGACTGAGTACAGTTATCATGGTATATTTTTGGTTCTCTCTCTAAACTGATTTTGTGAAAATCGTTTCTAAATCTCATTTTATTGAAACTTTTCCAGTTTCTTTCCTGGATTAAGAATTTTTTGTTAGGTGATGGTTTAAGAATAAGCCATCAGAAATTTTTGGAAGATGATCTGAGATTGTGGTGGTAAAACTCCCTGCTATATATTTTTTTGATTTAATATTTGAAAGATGTTGCCAAATAATGTTTTTGATGTTTTATAGATAGGAGTAGGGTGAAAAATATGAGGTAGAAAGTATTTTGAGGTAAATGAGTCTTAAAAATCTCTAGTATAAATCTCTGTGTCACACTTTAACAAATCAATATTGAAGCCCCTAAAATAAATACAGTTTTATTTTCTTATGTTAGACTTTTGAGTAAGGGATTAAGATAAAAGGATAGGAAGTTGTCCAAAGATATTTTTGGATGCCTGTAAACGCAATCAGTGATAATATTTGATTTTTTCGGATTTATAATTTCAATGAAGATAGATTTTTATTCTTTCTGTTTATAGATGTGGAGATCGTTTCTGGGTTTATAAGCGAGCCTGTTATTAATATATAATAATGTACCACCTGAATGTAGTTCAGATGGTGTGTGTTCATAGGAATACCCATTAATGTGGGCTTTTTTTTATTCATTCTGGTTTCCGATATACCAATTATGTCATATTCAAGATTTGTTGATTGGAGCAGATTTTTTCGATGTCAGTCGATATAACAGCGCTCCTCGCATGTTCTACCTATTTGTTAGTCGATGAACATAAACATTAAAAAAATAAAAATAAAAACATTTGAAATGATTGCTTTTTTAATTAAAAAAATTTAAACATTCTGAATTTTTATAAAAACATTCAAATCTATTAATTTAGCGCCTTTTAGGCTGGCGTCTGTTAACCAAAAATATTTTTAAAAAAAGAGTTTCGTTAATCACATTTAGTAAATAATTTACGAAAACGGAGTTTTGAAGATCTAAACTAACTGATTTAATTCCCAAAAGATCCCAGATTTTAAGAGTCCCAAAAATCGGATTTCCGAGGTCAAAATTTTGTTGTATATAAAAGCCATCCAGTGATTTAATTTAGGACGGTTTTTACAAACTAAATAAAAATCAAATTCTCTTTTTCCTGAATTACTTCCAAATAACTAATATTTGTGATTTCAAATGTAATGTATTCTTCATTAAATTGCCAGAAACACTGCTGGCAATTTAATGAAGAATACATTACGTTTGAAGAATACACTACAAATATTTGGGCGCTTTATGAAATGGGTAACCTGGCTTCAAGACCTCCGTATTTTATCTCCGTTTTTTTAGGGTAATTATCATACACCATGTTCTGCTTCAAAAGAGGATTTTGAAGCAGAACATGGCAGATATTATTATTAACCAAATTATTATTTTTTATAACTACTGTCAAAGTTTATTTCACAGTTAAATGTTGAAAAGTATAAAAACATCAAGTGGTATTTATACAGAAAAAAGTAAAATTCCATATTATTATCGCTATCGGACTCAGACTAGGTTGGTTTATCTGATAATTCACCAACATCTTTCTTGGGATGGTTATTACCATGATTGTTGCAACTATTGCATTTAGTTCTGTGCATCTTACACTAGTTTTATTGCAAGAACATCTTTTTTCGGAACAATCACCACCAATCACCACCAATCACCACCAATCACCACCGCAGTTACAATGAACAAAATTAAGTACTAAATCTGGTGCCGCAGGCAGTTCCATCCTAGATATGGAAATTCAACCGTGATCGTTAAACCAACCATTTCCAAAATGACTTGGTGGTTTATAACTGCTTTATGCGATGGTTTTCTTACAAAAGCTTCATAATTAGCTCTTTTTATGTGCTGCACTAGCGAATCTTTATTCGGCAGCAAAGTTTACTCGCTAAACTTTCCAAATTTAAATAATGTGTAACGAGCTACATTAACTGATTCTTCTTGTTCAACCCCGTATAAATTACACAAATATTTTTTCAGCATAATTATTAGTTCATCAGATGATGTTTCTGCCCAGTAAACACACGACGTTTAAAAGACGCCTAAAAAACGTCTATAAGACGTCTAGACGTCTAAAAGACGTTTTTTAGACGTCTTTTAGACGTCGTGTGTTTACTGGGTGAATCACCAAAAATTTTAAAAGCTTTTAAATATTTTGCTTTTTTCCATAGGACTTTGAAAGCCATTTTCTTTTCCATAAAATACAAATGCTTTTTCTTTTCCATAAAATACACTTGTTGAATCGTATCCTTAAATACTTATTATAATCATGAATAATTGGAAAAAATTTTTAAATCTGAATTCACACCTAGATTGTTATCCCGTTTAAAGATTACAATAATACAACAATATTTTATACAGAAAAAAAAAAAGATCACCTGTAAACAAATGAAAGCTGCTCATAGCAATCGACAAATCTTTACCAAGATTGTACTCACATTTTTTAATATTAATGATGCGACGTTTGTTACTAACAGCAGTATCGAAGTATGCAGTTTACGGAAAATAACTTGACAGAGTAAATACAAATACATCAGTAACCAATTGCAGTATTTTGATAGTGCAGCGATGCATAAAATGCATGTAAAAATCAACCTTGTATCAGCTTCTTTGTGGTCACTGGCAAGATCATGAACTTCAGTTTTGATAATAAGGTTATCAATTGATTGAATTTTGTTACACAAGTTTGTGTGTGTTATGTAGAGAGTTATGTTGCCAAGAATTTGTGGATCACACACCGTGACATTCATAGAAAATTAATTAACTCTCCTTTTTTTTGTCCGAGGGATATAAATTTTATCCATTGCTTTGGTACCTTATGAGTAGCACTAAAAATGTTAAATACTTGTACACCTGTACATATTTTTTTCTTTCAGCATTCTTTGTATTAGTGAAAGTGAAAGGTAGCAATCAGCTACGAAATCAACACAAGATGATTTATGGTTAGTGACTAATCCTATTACTTGTTTAAGTACTTGATTGGCATTACAAATTATTAAGATTGTTACCTGATTTTTTATGGTAACTTTTTTTATAAAAATAAATAAATAGCTTTTAATAAGTAATTATGTCGTTTTATATTTTAAATAAAGCCCTCCAACAATAAAAAATAACTACGATACGTGTTTTATTATTAAATTCATTTAGCTTAAAAATTACTATTCTCAACGATCCTCGTTGCCAATTCGCAATCTTTATTGTTATGATTATCATTAGCTAGTAGCTAGCCAATTTCCCTAAGGTTGTATAAATTAATCTCCTTCTTCTAATTAAATTAGTATATTTAGAAAAGGTTGTTTGGGTGATGCAAAAGATTGTCTTAAGACAATCGCCAATTTACAAAATTACAGTGTTTTGTAAATTGGCAAATTTACAAAACACTGCTAATTAGCAGTGTTTTGTAAATTGGCAAAAACCCAATATAAATATAAAACTTCTCAATTGTAAATGTAGGGTAGACTGGGGCGATTTCACCACTTTTGCTGCTTTAATGTTGTCTGTTTAACCTGGTACGTTTTTTTTGTATACCATTAACTGAATTATATTGAATAAACTATATTTAGTTCAACCACGATTAAAAATTCACAAAAAAAATTATTTATACTCATCAACACCGATTTGTATAACACACTTCTATATAGGGTGATTTCGCCTTTTATGGGGTGATTTCGCATGTGTAAAAAGAGTTAAAGCTTTATTATATTTTGTTGAATCAAGCATATTCTGTGCACATGGCAATGCGAAAGCAGGCTTCACATCCCCATATATGACAAGAAACACATTGGAGCCATTCCTCTGATGAATCCACTTATGTCACACTGAACACACAGCAGTGAGTTGTTTTTTTGCTGTTTCTGATTTAAGCTTTTGATGTACTTGGTAGCATTTGGTAGCATTTGGTAGCATTTGATTTAATAATGATTTTAAACTATAGGATTTCCTCTTCTTTGAGCCATATGCTTTTATTTGATTAAGCAAATATTCCTTTTAATCGCCCCGGTCTATCTTTTTTCTGGTTAAAAAAAAAATTAAAAATTATTTGAACTTTTTGATCTTATATTTAATTAATTAATTTGATCTTATGAATGACGTCAATAGTTTGTTTAAAACTGCTATTTCTAAATGCATAAAGTTCTAAAATTTTGGCCAAGGCTAAAAAAGTTTATTGCAAAACAATATGTTTTCAAATTGTTTTCTTATTATTAGTAATAGAAGATTAATTAAAGTCTTGCTATAACAACAGCAATAAAAAATTACAAACATCAAAAGAAAAAAAAAAAGTGAAAAAAAACCTTTAAATTAGATAGACTCAAATTCAACGGCTATTGTAAAAACAGAACTTTAGTTTTGATTTTTTATATTTTAAAATTGCTTTAACTACATAAAAAAGGTTTGCTTAGTAAGTTTACTAAACTATTAACAATATTATAATACAATATTAATATAGAAAAGTATTAATGAATTACTAAAACTTGCAAATAATTGTTAACTACGTTTGCATAGAAAAACCATAACAACAAGTTAAATGATTTAAAAATGCTTATGATCTCGGGAGAATAGCATACAATAAACTGAAGCGTTTCTTTTAATTTAAATGCACTACATTGTAATTAATAAATGTTTAACTTTAGTGTATAAAACAACAAATTACGTCAATACATCAATCGTACTGTGTTTTTAAAAAGGTGTTGCATCCATACCAATTTCATTTTCATGATATCTTTTTATTGCTATAAGGTTTCATATTCAAACATCAACAGTCAGAGATGATATCTATCTTTAATATAAAACACTGTAAGTTATTTTTTTTTTATAATTTAAAATATTTTAAACTGCTTATTTGTTGCTATTTTTTATAAAGTATTACGTATTGATGTTTGTCGAATGTTATGTAGCTGCAGTAGTACATGTTGTTGTTTGTTGTATGTTGTGTAGCTGCAGCAATATTGATTTAGCTGAATATGTTTTCTTGGCCAAAATTATGTAATTGAGTTTTTAGAATGATAGGAGCTAACCATATCCTTACCCATTACGTAAAATATGTTTTTTAAATTTTTAAAAAGCATTGGAGTTAATTCACATTAAAACATCTCACAAAAAACCCCAGCTAATAATGTTCAAAAATTTAATGAGTAATTTCATACTGCCTTTTTTAACCAATTTGCATATATACCTAGACCAGGCATAAAACTTTAAACTTATTGATCTCAGCGCTCTAATTGCTGCGTCACATGTGAGCGCGTACGCGTGAACGCGTACAGGCAGCAACTGTGGCAATATTTATAGGAAAGAAAAGAAGCTAAAACCTACTAATGATAGAAAAGTGGCTTAAGATTGGATTGCTATGGCGAATCACATTTACAATGCGTTTTTGGACATAGCATAAAAAATAAATAAAATGCGTAGTAGAACCTAAATATCTAAACAGCATTCCATATAACTAAATATTAAAACGTTTATAGATTTAAATGATTTATTGAAAGACTTTTTTTAATTGTTAAATACAATAAATTTACATTTACTGTGCTTAACAATTTACATTTACTGCATTTAACCACTTACATACTGTGTTTATTTAATTATGGTTCAATCACTTTAGAGGTAAGATTATAGATGAAAAAGAGCGCGGTTCAGGGTTAGAGTTTAAAGATACCTGAGAAGTTACTAAAAAATATATATAGTTAAAAAACAATAAAATTTTACAAAATAAACTCGGACTTGGAAGGAGTATATATATATATATATATATATATATATATATATATATATATATATATATATATATATATATATATATATATATATATATATATATATATATATATATATATATATATATATATATATATATATATATATATATATATATATATATATATATATATATATATATATATATATATATATATTTATATATATATACATATATATATATATATATATATATATATATATATATATATATATATATATATTTATATATATATACTATATATATATATATATATATATATATATATATATATATATATATATATATATATATATATATATATATATGTATATTTATATATATATACATATATATATATATATATTTATATATATATACATATATATATATATATATATATATATATATATATATATATATATATATATATATATATATATATATGGCCGTAGTAATTGTTCCGAAGGATCCCAAAGTAAAAAGGCTATTTTTCCGATATGTGCAATATTCATACTCTTGTTTGCTAAGGGATTGTCCATAAATTACGTAATGCAAACTTACACAATAAACAAAAGAAAAAAGATTAAAAGTTTTTCTTCGCAGAGTCCTAAGTTAATTTAAAGATCGAAATAGCCCATTAAATTTAATGAAAATCGCTGCACTAAAGAGCTTATACCTACTTCTGTTTTTAGATGTATTTCCTAATTCTTTTTTTGAAATGTATTTTGCGTTACATTGTTTATCGACGGTCCCTAATCAAATTATTTAGCGAAAATAGTAAGATTATTTTTGCTTTTTTTGAACGAAGTCATTATTTGTACGCGGGTGCAAATAAGGTTTACATAATAGAACTCTTATTTGTACGCGAAAAATGTTTATATACTTGAATTTTTTATAACTTTAATATATTTAGGTAGTGCAATAGGTGTTAAAATCTTTTTCTTTTGAGTCGCGACTGTCAGGGTTGCGGGTCCGAGTTAAATAAGCGAATTTTCGAGTTAAGCTAAGCTCTTGTTATCGCGGAAATTTACATAAGAAAAAACAAAATATTGAGTTTCAATATTTTGTTTTTTCTTATGTAAATTTTCTTTAGTGGTTTTCATAATATGTTCTAGGTTTGTTTTTTTATAACCATTTTCTACAAAAACATCAATTAGAAGTAATAACTCTTGTTCAATATTATTTTCAGAGCATAAATATAATGCTCTATGAACAAAACCTTTGAAAATTCCGTTTATAATTTTTGGATCATGGCATAAGTTAGGTTTGATTTGGACATTAGTTAAGGCATCTTTACGATAAACTTTAAAATCGTACGTACCAGTTTTATTGTTAATAATAGTAACATCAAGAAAGTTTAGCGTGTTATTTTCATTTTCAATTTCCATGGTGTACTGAATATTTTTATGTTGGTTATTAAGTAGTATTAAAAATTTTTTTGCATCTTCAGTAGAGTTAAAACGAGAATGGGAGTCATCGACATTTCTTTTAAATGACTTTAATTGAATATTATTGGAAATTGCTTGGGCAGTAGCATTACTTTCGTGAAGCATTACTTTTGTATGAAGTCGTTCCAATAGTGCTTACGATAACTCGCATCGGGTAGTTTTTTTCAGGTTTGTGGGCTTTAATGACTCCATACAAACGAGGTAGTATAGCATCACTCGGGTAAAGATCTTTATATTCTTTAACCATAAATCGACCTGCTTTATTTAGTTTTTTGAGTGTGTTTTGAACTTTACGAATGATTTGTGGAGTTTGATCATAGTTGAGTTTTTTTGTTTCGCCCCCTAAATGTTCTTGTATTTTGGTTAAAGCACTATCAGAATTAATTCGCACTAGTCCAGTTCCTTTATCGAACGGATATATCATAATATTATCATCTTTCTTAATCTCATAAAGGGTTTTATGTTGTTCTTTATCTAGATTACTTTTGATAGGCTTAGCCATTTTTAAAATTCTCAAAACATCCTGTCTAAGTTTAACTCCTTCAGTTTTTTTCTTGTTATACTGTAGTTTTAAAGCAGACGATTCAGTAATTGTTGTAATATCTAAATAAGGTATGCCTTTTGGATTGGGAACAAACTTTGGACCGAGATCAGGTAGTTTTTTATGATGAATTGGTATATCAGAATTAGCTAAATTAAATGTTACCTCTTTAACCTTTTTAATTGGTTTTTCATGGTTGTTGTTGTTGTTATTGTTATTGTTTTGTTTATGTAGAAACTTTTCTTTATGTAGAAACTTTTCTTGAGATAACTTTTCAAATTTTTCTTTTAATTTTTCTCTAGATTTTATAAACATTCGTTCATAAAAATTATTGGTAACATTTATTATAGTTTGAAAATCATGTTTGTCGTAAACAAATGTTCGTATATAATCTTCACAAAGTTTAGCTTCATTTTTGAAAAGGAAATATCGTGTTTTTGCTTCGTTTTTTATATGGAATAGTAGATCATCTTTATACTTTTCTGTTAGTTGCAGTGCATATTTTGATTTTGTTGGACATCTCAAGCATAATGATTTTGGAAAAATATTATGGTGTAAACATCTTTGTAAAAATATCCACTGATTTTTTGATTTTGCTCTACGTTTTTTCATATTTTTTAATCTTCCTTTAGCATATACAATAACTTTATAAGATTTGCTATCTCTATCACCTCTATACTTTATGTCACATGAATTGTATTTTGAAAGAGAACAATTAAACATTTAAACAATTAAACATTTAAACAATTAAACAGATTCCATTGCTCCAGAACTACCAGAATGATTAATTGGGCATGTATGCAATACAAACCATTTATCGCACTCTGTGGATCCTTTTTTGGACTCTCAATATTTACTAGACTTTTGATCTTTAGCTAAGGTTTGTGTGTCAATGCATTTATTGTTAGAAATTTAAATTAGAACTCCATTTAATGAAGAGAATCCAGGATGCTGCCAAGTACCTTCAACTAACAGTTACATTTTTTACTACATTCCCATAGTTGTTGAATGATGCACCTGCAGAACCATTGTCAACACATTGCAGAGCTCTGACAGACATCGATTCAGAACAAGCTTTTAAATAAACACTGCATTTTTTCTACAACATTGTTATATATTGGTAAACTCATTAGTGGTGGAATATTAATGATATAACAAAATGTCTCTGTGGCACAATATCCTTTACCAATCTCTCAAAAAACTACAGTGGATCTAATATTTACATCAAAAGTTTTTCTTCGTGAATCAGGATTGGCAATCTTTTTAGAGCTATACAAGTTTTTTGACCATTTACATACAACACAAATAAATATGCAAATTCTTTTTTAGATTCAATATCATGGGCAAGATAAACTTTTGATTGACAACTAGGGCATGTTCTAACCAAATCAACAATTGTTCTCAATATATCTGTATTAATTAAAATATAACATTCAAGGTCGTTTACAGTTTCATTTTTTTTTTTAATAGATGAATCTGAATACAGCTTCTTTGCTGATGCTAAAGTGGATATAATGAGTGATGGTGTTATTTGTGTTAATATTTTGTTTTCTTCTAGAGGCGGTCCTACTGCTTCTGAAGAAAATGTGTTTATTGATATTGATTTAATGTCCCCAATATTTTTAAATAGATGATCTACTTTTTTCTCTTCTTTTAGAAGAACCCATAAAAAAATGATAACAATAAAAAATAGTTCATAAAAATACTTTTACTCCAAACCAACAAGCTGGCTATATTCGTGATGAGTAATTTGAAGTGAAATCATTTAGTCGTTATATAATTACTTATTATAAAGCTACATATGCGCTGTACTTATATAAAGTACAATGAAAACAGAATCAATATGATAAACCACTTTTTATAGGGTTGATGTGAAGGTGAAATGTTGTTGCGAAGGGTATTGCTATGTTTTTAAAATAAACTACTTGTATGAAATTCTAATTTTTAAGCCATTACAGAGGGTTTTAGTGAAAGCCATTACATTAAATAGAATCTAGAATGATTTTTGAGTAAAATAAGTATAATTTAAAAAAATTGATTTATTTAGTATTATTTACTTATTATTATTGCTCAAACCATAACAAAATTGGTTTATTTTTGCTATTAATATTTTCTCTTTTACATACTCAGATTTTCTTCTGCTTGCGTTATTAAAGAATATTTTCTCAGGTAAGTCTTTGTTTTATTTTTTATTTGTTCTTGATAATTTATCTTTAATTATTTTTAGATAAAATCTATTTTGTCGAACAGAATGGGGTAGGGGGTCCTATTTTTGTACTAATTTTCACACAAAATAAACAATATTATATGTTTTCAACCAAAAATTGACATTTGAGACATGGAGCAAACTCTAACACATTTATATGATTATACTCAGGGGCGCCGTTAAAAGTTATGACCATGCAAATTTACAACCCTCTTTTTTTTTTTTGAGGAAGACGGGGGAAGGGGAAGGGGGGTTGAAAATTTTGTATGGTCATAACTTTGTGATTTACAATATTTTAAAATAAAATTTAAAACCTGTTGATGAATTTTAATTTAGTATAAGAAAGTAAAGTTGAAAACTTTACTACGTAACTGCCCTAACCTATGGGCAGGAGGGGGCCAAACTTTTCTGGGTATTTTTGTTTCTAAGCCTTTATCATGGCGGTTTTTTGCAAAGCCTGCTCATTTAGCATAGACATGAACATACTTAAGTTTGGAGTTAGCACAATATATGAAAGTGTCATATCTTAAATATCCAAAAATCCTGTGGGTGCACCTGTTTATACTTATGCCAAATAAGTTTGCTTTGCAAATATTTGCAATGATTGACCCTGGGAACAAAAGAACTTTAAAATTTGAGCTGCACCTGGCCCAAACATGAAAGTAACAAATTGATGTTTTTTTTAACTACTAAGTTTTTACTCTTCTACTAATTTCATGTCATAGTCTAAAAATTCCCCTGCCTCGGGGCTCTTGGTTGAGTATAGGCTAGAGATGGTGTCTCGATAAAAACACTCATCTTGGGCAGATGTTAACTGCATCCAGCTAAACATCCCCTGCCTTGGGGCTCTTGGTTGAGTAAAGGCTAGAGATAGTGTCTCGATAAAAATACTCATCTTGGGCAGATGTTAACTGCATCCTGCTACTGTCTTGTAGAAGGCCTCCTAGGCAAAGACTTTAGGGGTAAGCAGAAAAATTCTGCTAACCAGCCTCGAACCCCTTCTTCATCTATTAGGCTGGCGTAGATATAACTTGTGTTACATTGTTTCCTGCTTAGGATGATGAATGCTGGATCTCCTTGACTCTACTCATAGAATTTTGCTTATGCCTCCTTGATAATGGCTATGCAATTCTTCCTGTTATCTCCATATGAGGGTACAGCTCTAAAACTCAGTTTAATGGTTCTGAGGCCGGCTGGTAGTAAGGTTTCCTGAACTCTGTGGTAGCTCTCAGAGAGGCTGATTCCATCAACAGCTGCAAAATATCAGAGTATTAACAGTGCCATGTTGCGCATGGATGGTGTCCCTGTTAATGCTTTTGGTGTGCATTGTCAAGGCCACATAAGGAGCCCTATGTCACGGCTTAGGGTTAATTAACAGGACTGAGACAACTGCATAGCTCATTGATTAGGAGGCTGTGCTCTATCTATGAATGAGTCAAGTTCTCATTAAACCCAAATCATGACCAAAGTAATCAAAAATTTAAAACCTAAAAAACCATCCCCACCACCTAAATATTTTAATATATCTTTAACAAATATTCGCGGTCTACGAAGCAACTTTCCATCAGTTGAGTCTTACCTCCTGCAAAATTCACCAGACTTGCTTGCACTCAGTGAAACAAATTTAAGTTCTGCAATTCCTTCTTCAGATGTCAGTGTTGATGGGTACTATCCTTTGATTCGTAAAGACTCCAATAGTCACATGCTAGGTTTAGGGGTATACATACGCATTAATTCCCCTATTTGTCGTGAAATCAGGCCTGAATGGCTTGGCTCTAACACCACTGATCCTGCTGGCACTAAAGCCTTTAACTTCTGCGTTTCTCAATCTCTTACTCAGATAGTTAACTTTATGACTCGTTTTCCTGACAACCCTAATCATTTACCTTCACTCCTTGACTTATGTCTTGTCTCTGACCCTAGCTTATGTTCAGTTTCTCCCTTTTCTCCCTTAGGTGGTTCTGACCACGCAATGATCTCTATAAATCTTTCTTCTCGTACTTCTTCTGGGATTCCTTCATGATTTTCTTTGTGATGGTCCTTGGGCTGATGTTTTTTCTCTCTCAGCTGACAAATGCGCCTCCTACGTAACCTCCTGGATTCAGACTGGAATGGAAGCTTTTATTCCTTCTCGTCGGTTTCAAGTCAAGCCTCATTCTACTCCATGGTTTTCTCCTTCTTGTGCGGCTGCTATATCCAATTGTAATCATTTTTTTCATCTTTTTCAAAAGAACAACTCTCTTGAGAACAAACGACTATTTATTATTGCAAGAAATCGATGTAAAAAGGTGCTTTCTGATGCTAAACTCCATTATTCTCAGTTCACTAAATCTCGCATCTTATCGCAGAAGTTAGGCTCTAAAGACTTTTGGAAAATCTTCAACAGCATTGTTAACAAGGGTATATCTAACATTCCATCTCTCATTCATGGGACTGATCTTGTTACCTCTCCCAGGGATAAGGCAGAACTGTTTGCAAAGAACTTTTCTTCTAATTCCACTCTTGAATCTTATGGACATTCTCTTCCTTCCATTCCAGTCAAACAGGTTGACCCTTTGTTAGACATTCAAATCACTCCGGCTTCTGTTGCCAAAGTCATATCTCAATTAAACTCGTCTACAGCTTGTGGTCCAGACAACATTCCTGTCACAGTCTTGCAGAATTGTTCTCCAGAACTTTCTTCAATTCTCTCTAAACTATTTAACAAGTGTTTGTCTGAGTCTTGTTTTCCTGCTTGTTGGAAAATGGCATCTGTGGTTCCAATATTCAAAAACTCTGGAGAAAATTCTGAACCCTCCAATTATCGTCCGATCAGTCTTCTTTCTGTTATTAGCAAGGTCTTTGAGTCTTTAATCAACAAATTCCTCACATCTCATCTTGAGTCAAATAAACTGCTGTCAGACAATCAATACAGTTTTCGATCCTCTCGCTCTACGGCCGACTTGCTAACTGCTGTAACTGAAAGATTTTATCGTGCATTAGATGGAGGCGGTGAGGCTAGGGCTATTGCTCTCGACATATCTAAAGCTTTCGACAAAGTTTGGCATGCTGGTCTTCTCCATAAGCTTGCTTCATATGGTGTTTCTGGGAAAGTTTTTGAGATTATCAAATCATTTTTTCTGACCGGTTTATTAAAGTCATCCTTGAAGGCCAACACTCTTCTTTATTTCCAGTAACTTCTGGGGTTCCCCAAGGTTCCATCCTGGGCCCTGTTTTGTTTCTTATCTACATAAACGATCTTCCTGACAACCTTTCATTTAAAGTAGCTCTTTTTGCTGATGACTCAACTTTATACTCCTGTCTTGACAAAAAGTCTTCTCTTTTCGATCGCCTAGAACAAGCAGCTGATCTTGAATCTGATCTCACTTCAGAAATAGATTGGGGTTCACAGTAGCTTGTGAATTTCAACTCTAAAAAAACCCAATTGCTTACTGCAAACAACTACCGTAATATGGTCAACATTCCTATATTAATGAATTGCAATCCTCTTACTGAGTCGTCCTCTTTACGTCTTCTTGGATCATCGCTTACTACTGACCTTTCATGGAAACCATATATACAATCGATTGCTAAATTAGCTTCTGCTAAAGTTGCTTCTCTTTATCGTGCTCGCCATTTCCTTACTTCTGATTCCATTCTCTACCTCTACAAATCTCTTATTCGTCCCTGTATGGAATACTGTTGTCATATTTAGGCTGGTTATTCTAACGATTCACTTTCTCTTCTTGACAAGGTCCAAAAACGCATTGTAAATGTTGTTGGGCCTGGACTATTTGCTAAGCTTGAGCCTTTTTCCCATCGTCGTAAAGTTGCATCTCTTTCTCTTTTCTACAGTTACTATCATGGTCACTGCTCAAAGGAGTTATCATCTCTAGTTCCATCAACTAAAATTCATTCTCGTTTTACTCGTCATTCAGCTAAGTCTCATTCGTTTACTGTATCTGTCCCAGCATGCTCTAAAAACTTTTATTCATCTAGTTTTTTTCCCCGCACTTCAATCCTTTGGAACTCTCTCCTATCTTCATGTTTTCCTGACTCATACAACCTTCAACTTTTCAAGTCTTCTGTCAACCGTTTCCTTGCTCTATAACTCTGTTCTTTTTTTTCCTAGTAACTCCCAACTTAATAGTGGTTGCTTGCAGCCTTGTTGGGAGTGAATGCAAATAAAAAAAAAAAAAAAAAAAAAAAAAAAAAAATTATTTATCAATAAAGCTGTGACTATTAATACAGCAAGTGTGATTTACAACTGAAACAGCCATCCACAACAGTTATTTACAAAAATAAGTTGCTTAAATTATCGCTCTTTTGTTGATACTTGTCGAGATTGTTTTTGAACTTATTTAAGTTATGAGAATCTACTACTTTATACGGTAGTTCATTCCATGCAGTTGCTGCACGATTAAGGATATAGTTTTGTCTGGAAGCACTTTTAGTAAATTCAGCTCTGTATCTAAAGTTGTGTCCAAGTGTCTTAATCTAATTATTTTGTATGTTTATTTGCTCTAATAAGTTATATTCATGTAAGATTAGATTTATATTATCTATTTTATTAATGATTTAAAAAATTTGTCAAATCACAAAATCAAATCACCTCTTAATCGCTGAGTTGAAAGTATTGTTAGATTAGAACTTATGACTCTTTCTTCATATATTATCTTTTTAAATATGGGAATTAGCTTAGTTGCTTGCCTCTGTACTCATTCTAACACAGATATATCTCCTTTAAGGTAAGAAGACCATAGAGCGATATCGTATTCAAGATGTGGTCGAACAAGTGTAGTATAGAGAACTATATATTATTTTTATTTTTATTATTATCTAAGGTTATGATTTTATAAAGAGAATAATTAACCTAATTATTTTATTTTTAAAATCATAACCTTAGAGAATAATCATTAGGCAAATAATTAAGCATAATAAATAAGTCTATCAATCTTTTGTTTGTTTGTATATATTTGTACTAGGGGTGGTAAATCATTAATGATTAATCAAATTATAAAAATCAACTGTTGATTGATAAATTAAAAAACGATTAATCGATTTATTTTTTACTTTAAAATTCTATATTTGTTATAGTTATTATTATTTATTTTTTTTACCACTTTGTTGTTATAATGGCAAAATAGCATTTTTTTAAGAAACACTAACAACTGTTTTCACTTTTCTAGTACCGGCAAAAAATGTTAACAAATAATACAATACGGCTGTAGAGATGCCTGATGGCCATTTACAATGTCATCTGGAAATAGTTCTTCTGAAGTTTGGCATTTTTTATTGGATGCTTTTTTCATTGGAAAACAAAGTGAAATCATTATAGAAACACAAACATTGTTCGGTTAAAATTAAATTCCATTCATCAACTTCAAGTTTCTTATATCATTTAAAGCACAAACATATAATTTTTCCAACCAAAATTGTTTCAGAAAAGAAAAAAATACACAGCCAAATTAGCTGTCTACTGTAATAAAACAGGAAACAAAGCTGAAGAAGTATTAGCTTGTTTAACAGCTGTAGATTGTATTTCTTTTGCAACTTTGGCCAATAGTAAAGGTATGAAAAATAGCTTGAAAGCTCAAGCGTTTAAAATCCCTGATGATCGACATGGTATAATTTATAGCATGTTGATCATTGAGTATATGTTGATCATTGAGTTGCTATTATTTATAGCATGTCGATCATTGACATGCTATAAATTATAGTATGTCAATCATTGGATATTTAAAGTGCTTAAGCTTTCCAGCCATTTTTAATACCTTTACTATTGGCTAAATTTGCAGAAGAAATACAATCTAGAGTTGTTAAACAAGCTAATACATAGCTAATTTATAGTATAAAGACAGCTGTTATGAACTACTCCAGCCCAATAAAGTTAAAAATTGCTTAAGAGCTTTAACAAAAAGAAAAACTGGAGAAACCTTTTCAATTTCTCTTGATGAATGAACTTTAGGTAAAACTAGAATGTATTTGTGTCTTAATCATAGATGAGTTTTTTCCGGAAATTCCCGGAATTCCGGAAATTCACATAAAACACCTTCAATTTTTCCAGGAATTTCCGGATGTTTTTTTGATATTAATTTGAAAAAAAATTAATATATTTTTACATAAAATTTTACATACGACAACTTTTGCATTTAAACAAATATGTTTTCTATAATTGAAATTTTTACAAGTTTTTACATCGATGTTTTTACATCGAAAAATTTTACAATTTTTACATCGATTTTTGTAACAATTTTTTTCTTCATTTTTTTTGCTTTTTAATTAATTCAAACTTTTTCGAATATTAGAAATTCCTTTTTGTAAAAAATTAATTAGTATAAATTCCATTTTAAAATAATCTAAATTCCGTTTGTCAGTTAAATGCGATCAATTTTTAATAAAACAATTTTCCGGGATTTTCCGGGATTATCAAAGAAAAAAAATTTCCGGGATTTTCATAAAGTCAAATACTCATCTATGGTCTTAATGTACATTGTTCAAACATATTTTTTTATGGTTACGAAGTAATTATTGGAATGATTAGAATAAATGGTTCAATGCCTTCAGAAGGAGCAATTAATATTGTTATTGAAAAGTTAAGTGATTTTGATCAATTTTTACTTTGGATGTTTACTGGTTTTGCATCAATCATGAATCAATCATATATATCATATATATGCAAAAAATATTTATGCATCAATCATGAATCAATCATTTTGCATCAATCATGAATCAATCATATATATCATATATATATGCAAAAAATATTTTGCATCAATCATGAATCAATCATAAAAAAATGGGACAAGAAAGGGAAGTTACCCATCAAGTTTGCTATTGCCATGGAATTCATCTTGCCATATGTGATATTTTTTATAAGAAGAAAAGGTTCAGCAACAAAAATAATTGGATAAGAACTAATTATGGAAAAGTTAAATGAAAATGATGAAAATGAAAATAAAGAATGATTGAATGAGAAAAGTATCAGCTTTGTTGATAAGGAAATGCAATTTAATGAGGACTATAGTATTATTATATTAAAGGTTCTTAAAATTGTAAAACTGTTTAGAAAATCACCTTTTAAAAATAATATCCTTTAAATCATTTGCAAATCAGATTTAGGAAAATAACCTCAACCTTTTTTGGATACTAAAACAAGGTAGAGTTCTCTAATCAGTATGTTAAAGCTCTTGTAGATATATTCAGAACAGATTTGATAATTTCTTATTTATTAGAGAACAAAATATTAACATTGGTCAAAAACTGTTGAATGTAGTCTCTGAGAGAATTACTAAAAAAAAATATTACATTAATGCTGGTTTACTATGCTGTTACTATGCTATACTACTATGGTTTACTATGCTATTTGCATAATCCAGATGACTTTAAATCAGATTCAGAGTTACCAAGTCTTTTAAAATACCCAAATCAAAATGAAATTGTTAAATTAGCTTAAGGTGTTTTCATAAGTTTCTACATGAGCTAGTAGAAGCACCACCTGAGTTTAATCGAAACTAGTCAATTTATTTTTGGAAAAATAATCGTTGATTAATTAATTGATTAATTTGAAATACCGATTAATCTACCACCCCTAATTGGTACCAGTCTAGTTGCTTATGAAAGTTAAAATTTATTATTGAAAATAAGTTTAGCTAAGAATAGTAAAAAAAAATAATTTTATCAACTTTTTGCACTCATATTTGGGGTAGGTATAACTAAAATTTTAGGGCTTTTTTGATCTAGGCTTCAATCATTATATTTTTTTGCTAAGTATCTATATTTGACATAAGTATTTAAGTATATATGACATATGTATTAAAGTATATAAGTATTAAAGTATATATTGCTACATGTGTGGAAATCTTCAACATCAAAAAATGCTGGATCCTTTTCTGTATGTATACATATGTTGAAAGTTACTTGATTTGGTTGTTCAGTTTAAATTCTAACTAAAATTTACTTAATTTCAGAACATTCTGTGTGTATCAGAGATTACCAAAAAGTTGGTTGTTTTTTGCAGTCCAAAATTTATCTATATGACATATTGATCAATGATCGAGTTGAAACTAAGAATCCTATTGATTGGCAAAACTATGATAGCTATTTGCACAGGTATTTTCTTTTGGCTTTAAGTGTTGTGTTAGGACTGTTTTTTTAGCTGTATTCAGGAAAAATTTCCACAAGCTCAGTTATGTTGCAGTTTGCTGATTTTTTGTCTCTTTTTTATTTTCCTTCATGGGATGAACTCTGATAACATAAGGAACAACTATTAATAAGCTAATAAATGTCAACCAATAGTAGTGCACTATCTGAAGCATCATAAAAAAAACTTGGTGGCAAGTGCATTGTTGTTAGGTTTGGTTGGTAGGTGCATTGTTGTTAGGTATAGCTGGTAGGTGTATTGGTTTTAATCTAAATTCTTTCAAGAACTTTTTTTATATCAATTAACAAATTTTAAATTGAAAAATTAACAATCACAAAAAGGTAGGTTTTCTAGATTTTAATAATAAAAACAGCTGCGTGTTTTGTTAAAAAGGTTTTACATCCTATATAAATATATTTTAATTAATTTCCTATTGTTAAGTCTATAATAGGAAATAGGTTTTTCTAAAATGTCTTTAAATAGTTGTTAAAATATATTTTTATTTCTTGTAAAAATTTTCATATTTTCACTATTAAATTTATTTGTCATTTGACTTAAATTAAATTAGAACTTTGTCTTTTGTTAAAAAGTATGCTTATTTTTGTTACAAAAATAAAATAAATAAAAATGTATACAAATTTACAATACTTTTATACAGCAAAACACATTGTTCATCTCTGCTAGTAAACTTTTATATATTGACCTTATTAACACTATTATTTTAATAAGTTATGTGTTTTTTCTTTTGTTTATATATTTTGAAATTTAGTTTAAACAAATATTTTTATTAGTTTTAACAGTATAAAAAAATACAGTATAATTACATTTTCTAGCCTCTTATGCCGCTGCAACCAAAAGGCAATTGAAAAAAACAAGTTAGAAAAAAAAGAATACAATTTCATTTCTATTCGCTTTTATGGTGAATGCTATGCTGGAAAAGAAATATTAAATGGAACTCAAGTCAGTGGATGTAAAACAGGAAAATACAAAGAATGTGTAGATAGAGATATTGAAGAGTGTGCTGGGACTAGTTTAGTGGAATATTTATACAGGATTAAAAGTAATATTTATCATATTTTGCTTTTTAAATATATTTTTATAGATTCTATAGACATGTTTATAAAATTATTTAGATCACTTCTAATTTATTCAAATTTATGAAAAAAAAAAACAAAAAACTCTTGTTTTTATACTGTTACATAACATTTATACTGTTACATATTTATGCTAAATATAATATAACAAGATAATAAACTATTTAATATTTAAATTTATATTTCTAATTTACAGATATCTTTTAATATCTTCAAACAAAAAGTTTTAACATTTTTCATCAATCCTAAGTCATAATCTATTCTTTAACAAATTTTATAGCTTATTTTATATATTTCAACATTTCACACACCCACACACACACACACACACACACACACACACACACACACACACACACACACACACACACACACACACACACACACACACAGACACACACATTTTTATGCACTGTAATAAAAGTACTTCCAGAAGTGTAGGGTGTATTTGAACCTAGAACATTTTGATTGTAAGTCAAGTGTTTTACTAAGTCTATGATAATTGTATAATGATGTGTGTTCTGCATGTATTCTGTATGTGTAACAATCAATACATGTTGCTTTTTTGTGAAATCTTTTGTTGTTGATATTTTTAATTGTTGATTGATTTGACTAGGTTTTTCTTTTCATATTCATTTTCAACAAACACATTGATAATAAATGATGACTCATCATTATTGTTATTTGTAGCTCATCAATGTTAATTTGGGCAAAACCTTTTAGGACATTGACTTTACTTTATGGCGTAATATTTGTTTGATTTGAAGTTTGATGGTTGCATTTTTGAAATTGCATTTTTACAATTGCATTTTTGTGACGATTGTTACAAAAGCTGTTCTGATTTTGGGATTCTATTATCTAAAATGTTTAATCTATTTGGGTCTAATTGGTAGACAATGTTGTGGATAAGTTGAGATGTTAAATTGGATCCTAAATATATTGCTCCAAATGTCTTAGTGGTTTTTTGACAATATATGACTGTTTTACAGAGAAAGACAAGGAAAACATTGCATTTGGCTGTATAATTGGCGGTAAAACGGTGTGGATCAAGACTGAGAGCAACATTCAGCTAGCCTAGTACTATTTTTGTTTTTGTTGTTTTAACCCAACACTTGACTTTTTTGACATATTAACACTTTCTAAATGGTTTAATATTTTGTTTAAATCAAGTGTCACCTTGTTTTCTTCTAAGATTTAAAATTGTGAGGCCCAAAATATAATTTTCTGTGTGAATATTATATTTTGGCATCCCTGTGTTTAACTTTCTCAAATATCGAAATTTTTACAGATTCTATGCTGAAGCGGCAAATTAAAAATGAGAGAGCACATAGTTGGTATACAAAATTTTCTATATTTTACAATCTTTTCTTTCAAAATGTTTTTTTAATAATCCTAGTATTATTAAAGCTTTGTATTTTACAGACTTGTGTTTGATGTTTCCACCGTATATCTGTTTGAAAAAAAGTACTTAGATCTCTCAGTTAGCCAGATTGTGATTCATACCATTTAAAAATCATATTTTAACAGTTCCACAAAGAACTTTTTTTAATTATGTTATTATTTAAATAATTATGCGGTAGTGGTGTAGTGGTAAAACACTCGCTTCATAAGTGAGAGGTTTCGAGTTTGATCCCCACCACGTCCTTGGTAGTACCACGCTCAACTTGTTTCTCCACGCAGCGGCTTTGTTTATCAAAGTTCGTGTTATAGAGTTGAGAGAGTGTTATAGAGTTGAGAGAGTGTTATAACCACTATTAAGTAGCCTCCTCGTCTTAGTGGCCTTTTGGCCTTGAGGAGGTGAATAACAAAAAAAAAAAAAAAATTGTCTAATCTCATCACCATTTTTTGCAGTTAAGTTCCTTATGAACTTTGCTGCACTGCTTCACAATATTATCTATGTTTTCTTCTTGTTTATCATGGATTTCAGCTTATTTTGCATGGTTGTTTATTATTTTCTTTGGCTTTTATTTTGCTATCATCAGCATACATTGTAAATGTATTTAACACATGTTCTGGCGAATTACTTATAAGTAGCATAAACAAAATGTGATCCAAAATGAAACCCTGAGAAAATCCACTGATAACAAATACCCATTCTGAAATTCCTATTTATAAGAAAACTCTCAGTCCAGTTATATACTTTACTGATTTTACCATAAGTTCTACAGAAGTTTTTGCAAAAGGTACTGTGTCACTGATACATATTAGACTATTTAACTGTGGTTGCACTCAAGAATTTGATCATTGTTTGATCATTATTGTTAACAAAGACTGAATTAACCTGCTTGTTTAATAAACTGCTATATCTTGAACCTCAGTTTTTTTATTTTTGTAGCATAAATTTAGGAGTTACCTTTTTGTTTTCTGTTAACATATGAGAATAAAACTTTTGGTGAAAGTTTTGCTCTGTTCACTAAATGTATGTTCCTGAATTGGTCTTTTGATTTGTTTTTTATACATTAGCGCACATTTTGTTGAATGCCTTTTGAGCTTCATGACTTTGCCAATGCTAGTTAGAATGAAGTAGGGAGTTAGAATGAAATAGGCATCCAACCAGAGTTGACTGTTTTTCTTTATTTTTCACAATAGGAATAAACAATCAACAAGTTTTATTATAAGTATTTAAAAATAACTCATAGCATTCACAATCAGATTTTCCATGAAACAATTCAAACCAGTTGGTGGAAGTAGTGTAATGGTAGAGAATGTTTTGGAGTTAAAGTGTAGAGAGATGTCCCTCAGCACAATAAAGTAGCTTCTCTGACTGCAATGCCACTCTCAGCCTTGGGGAGATAAGTAAAAAAGCACTTATTTCTAGTGAATATTACATTGTAACTTAAACTAGTAAAATATTGCCAAGTGATGGAGTAGTGATGGCATTTTCTCTTTTCATAGTATCCTAATTATGGACCAAATTAATGTAATATAGATAACAAGCTAAAACTAGATCAAGAGTGTTGACTGCTTCAGCAGAATCACTTTGATATAGATAAAAATCTTTTAATTCATGCTCAGTCGAGTTTTCATATAAACTTTTTTTTTTTTTTTTTAACACAACTAGTTATTAGATTGTAAGTTGTCCATTCATTGTTAGGGAAATTAAAATCTCCTACCACTCTGAGATGTATTTTTTATCACTTCTGAGGTTCATAGTAGTTCTAGTTAAGTCTGGCGTTGATTTTGAGTAATTTGGTGTAGAGTTGGTCGGTCAACTAATACAACCAGTAGTTAAATAAAGATTGTTACATTTTATTGAGTACTAAACTTGTTCAATCTCTTTATTGTTAAGACACGGGTTTAAAATTTCTATACTTGTTAATGTTTTATTTACATAAATGTAACTCCACCTTGGATTCTATCTATGTTTGTCTAATAAAGATCATACAAGTCTTTTATTTGAATTCAATTTAAACTAATTCTGTGTAATTTTCATTAATATTCACTTACTTAGCTTGCGCATATATTTATGTATCATTTTATCTATTTGACATAAAATTAGGTTTGAATCAGTGTCTGTCCCTTCATGTTCAAAAAAGTTTTATCTAATTTTTTTCTTTGTATATAAATGGTTTGGAATTTTCTCTCATCTCATTTTCTTTATTCTTTCAGATTTTTAAGACTTTTATCAACTGTTTTCTTGCTCTTTGACAAAATAATTTTTTTTTTCTTTTTAATTTCTGGGGTACCAAAGTTCTATCTATAGTAGCTCTTTTTGCTGATGATTCAACTTAATACTTCTTTCTTGACAAAAAATTCTTCTCTTTATGATTACTTAGAATAGGCAGCCCATCTTGAATCTGATCTCACTTCTGTAAAAGATTGGGGTTCACAGCGGCTTGTAAATTTTTACTTTAACAAAACTCATTTGTTTACTGCAAAAAAATATGGCAATTCTGTCAATATTTTTATATCAATAAATGGCAACCCTCTTACTGAGTCTCTTCTTTACATCTTCAAGGATTATTATTTACAACTGACCTTCCACGGAAACCATATATACAATTGATTGCTAAATTAGCATTCGCTAAGAATGCTATCCTGTTTTATCCTGTTTGACATTTTGCTCTCCTCTTTATCCTCTACAAATCTCTTATCCCTGTATGTAATACAATTGTCATAGTTGGGCTGATTCTTTATCCTCTACAGATCTCTTATCCCTGTATGTAATACAATTGTCATAGTTGGGCTGATTCTTTATCCTCTACAAATCTCTTATCCCTGTATGTAATACAATTGTCATAGTTGGGCTGATTCTTTATCCTCTACAAATCTCTTATCCCTGTATATAATACAATTGTCATAGTTGGGCTGATTCTTCTAATGATGCTCTTTCTCTTCTTGAGAAGGTCCAAAAACACATTGTAAACGTAGTTAGATCCACTCTATCTGCTAAACTTGAGCCTCTTTCCCATTGTCATAAAGTTGCATTTCTTTCTCTTTCTACAAATACTATCATGATTGCTGCTCAAAGTTGTTATTATCTCTAGTTCCATCAACTAAAACTAATTCTCGCTTGATTTGTCATTAAGATAAGTCTCATTTGTTTACTATCTGTCTCTGCATGCTAAAATTTTTTTTATTCATCTAGTTTTTTTCCCTGCCTTTCAAACTTTTGAACCTCTCTCCCATCTTCCTGTTTTCCTGACTCATACGACCTACAACATTTCAAGTCTTCTATCAACTGTTTCCTTGCTTCATAACTCTATTTTTTTTGCTTGCAGTCTTGTTGAAAGTGAATCAAAGGTTCAAAAAAAGAACATAAACAAAAAAAAAATTACTAACTCTGACTTTACTTCTACTTTTGTGCTACGACTTTTTTTTTAACCTTTAAGGATTTACAGACATATGGAATATTTTTATAATTATTGTATTATACATTTTTATAATTTTTTTTTTTTAAGCTGATTTTGGTTGTAGAAAAAAGTTTTTACCATGTTATTTTAGCAAGTGTAGATGGAGGATATTCTGAATGGAGTCCTTTTTCAAGCTGTTCTAAAAGTTGTGATGGAGGAATACAGGTGCGTACAAGGACTTGCACAAATCCATCACCAATGGGAAATGGAAAAGATTGTAAAGATCTCGGACAGTCCATTGAAGAAAGACAATGCAATAGAGTTTCATGTTCCAGTGGTAAGTTATTTTTTTATACTAATATTTAAAAAAAATAAAAGTTCATTAAGAATTTTCAAAAATAAAATAAAAATTAAAAAATGTGTAGAAATATAAAAGTAATTATGGCACACATTTTTTAGAAGTATTTCATGTCTCTCAAATATTTGTGATTATCATTTTCCAAATTAAAAATTTGATCTCAAATATTTGTAATCAACATCATCCTGATAGCTTCTTTTGCTTTTTTATTTAGTTTAATACCATAATGTTAACTTGTTTAAAAAAATATTGATTGTAGATAGCTACACTGAAAGACCACTGCATGGAACTCTTATTTTGTAAATCTAGGGTTTGAAACCACTGAATTGTATCTGTTATCAGAAAATCACTGAAACTAGAGTAAAATTTTATTTTTTTAATTATATTTAGAATGCATTTTCAAATATAACAATGATGAAAGTAACAATGAGATTTTCGTTGGAAAAGTAAAGGATGAAAATGAATGCATCAAAAAATGCTTTGAAAATCAAAAATCAGACCCTGCAATTAATGGTATAAAAATGGATCTAGATGGAACAATATGCTATTGCAAACAAGGAATGAAATCTATTAGTGAAGAGTCAAACCAACCATTATGGAAAACTTGTTTTATTCCTCTGAAACACAGTATTTAAACTTTTTATTTTTATTTTTAGTATTTTTTATGTGTGTTAATGCGTTCTTAGTTCTCACATTTTTTAGTTTATTAAGCATTATTAAAATTCTTTATTACAATATTTATATATTATTATAATACATTATTATAATACTTATTAAGTATTACTTATGTTCAATTCTTATAAAATTTGTAAAAATTTTTATTAAAAAATACCAGCTAGCAAAGTTCTTCATTATAAAATAATGAAGAACTTTGCTAGCTGGTATTTTTAAAGTAATTTTTCCCATGTAATTTTCCTTTTATAATATACATTAATCCTCAAATTAATATAAAAATTATATATATACATAATTAAAGGACAAAAGTTTTTTACACTGTTATTTTTATTTAATAAGGTTAAGTGATAAATAATTTAATGAAGTAATAAATGTTATAATGAAATACTATTTTGTCTTCTTACTAAAAATTAACAGATGCTTGAAACAACAAAAATATTTATTTTCAGGAAATGGATTTTATTCTACGTGGTCTTCTTTCTCAACTTGTTCAAAAAGCTGTGATGGAGGCATTGAAGTTCGTACAAGAACATGTACCAATCCTGCACCATTAGGTGATGGGAGAGATTGCTCAGACCAAGGTTTAGATAGAGAAGAAAGAAAATGTAATACAGAATCATGTCTTGGTAAGAAATTAAACGATATATTTCTAGTCCAAGTTGTTTTGTCAACCTTTTTTGGCATTATATTAAAAAAAGTTTACAAATTTTGTCCTTAAATATTCATTTCAAAATAACGAAATATTAGTGAATACTAATAGTCGATAACAACATTTCTATCGACTTTGACTAAAAGCTGATTTGTTGAAAGTCGAAATTAGTTGATTTTGAAAAATAGAATAGTTGATTTAATCAACTATGGACTTTTTACTAATCGACTAAAAATAGTGGCCGATGCTAGAGCTGACTTTTCAATTTTAATTCAGAACCGATTCATTAGAATTCCTGTTTTGACTGACTACTTCATGTGAATAGTTTAGAGCTGATTTCTGCAGCATCAACTGTTATTTTTTACAAGTTGATTGTAAATGGATATTTCATTAGTCGATTAACTAAAATTTTTATTAATCCTGATTAAAGTTGGTTCTAATAAGGTTGGTTTATCATTTATTCTGTCATAATAGTCGAATGCTGTTAGTAATTGGTTCTAGCATATGTCACACTAAAAATCGCTTTAGAAGAGTCTTAAAATCTTTATATCTTTTCATTCAGTTTAATTTTTCTATCTTTAATTTTTGTTTGTTCATTTAATCACATTAATTACTATTATTGTGATTAAATAAACAAACTTTCAAATTTCTATTTCATTATTTTTTTTTCTTTTGTTTACTCAAATAAGAGAAAAACTACCATAAGTTTTAAAAGCTGCAAGTAATGAATCAGGAAAAAAAAAAAAATTTGGAAAGAGTTCCCTTTTCAAAAAGAAATTCTTTCCAATTTTTATGTTAATAGATTCGTTAGTAGAAAAAAAGGTTAGTGGCATAAAGTTTTTTAAGCATAAATGTACAGTTACAGCACAAAGTAAAACTTTGCAAAATGAAAAGCTGGAACAAGATATGGTGTCACCTCCCCATAAGGTTTCACCTCTTCTTTTTTTTTCTATAAACACTACCATGGTTGTCACAGGAAATTATGCTGCTAGGAAATTTTGCAGCTGCGGCATAATTTCTTAGGAAAATCTGCTGCTCAGCTGCATTATATCCTAGGAAAAATTGCCTCTCGCAGGAAAATTTGCTGCCAAAAAAAAGCAAATCAATTAGTGCCAATCTTTCTTAAAATTTTTTCTTCAAAATTTCAATTTTTTGCTTAAACAAACAGGTTAAAATAAATGAGCATACTATAAAGTTCAAGTTAAAATTTACTTACAATTAGTAAAGTATTATTCATAGTTTGTATCCATTTCATTTTAATAAAATCACCTTTTTAAATCAATTTACTTTTTAAGTAAGCTACATAATAAAAACCTTAATGAAAGTAATTCTCCTTAACTCTTGGAATAACAATAATAAAAAAAAATTTTAATTGATAATTATACTTTTATTAACATTAACTAAAAATATAAATTAATTTGTTTTGCTAGTTATTTTATATATTTAATTATGCTTTTAATAACTTTTTCTAGCTTTTAATGAACTTTTTTGAAGTATTTTGTTGCCACACTATATAATAGGCTGACTTGAATAATTATAATAAAATAAAACTGTAAGAAATAGTATATATATATATATATATATATATATATATATATATATATATATATATATATATATATATATATATATATATATATATATATATACACATATATATATATATATATATATATATATATATATATATATATATATATGTTTTGTTATATATTTGTATTTTGTTGCTACACTATATAATAGGCTGACTTGAATAATTATAATAAAATAAAACTGTAAGAAATAATATATATATATATAATATATATATATATATATATATATATATATATATATATATATATATATATATATATATATATATATATATTTTATATATATATATATATATATATATATATATATATATATATATATATATATATATATATATATATATATATATATATAAAATTCCTGCACTGAATTGTCTTCTTTCTACTGGACACATGTAATATGGAACCATTTCAGGCATTTGCAGCAAGCAACCATAAAATCATAAGTGCAAGGCTTTAAGAAGGTGCAATGCAGTTGAACATTTACAGCTGAGGGATTGTTACGCGTAATATTCAATTTAATTCATTTATTGAGTAATGGAAAGGGTTTAAACTGTCCAGTATAAAATTTTTTTTCAAGATGTTGTCTCATAAACTTTTAATTATATGATAAATTTTCTGGTTGTTTACCCAAAGCCAAGTGGACAGCATTAGCTATAGCAAATAATCCACAATCCAAACTTCCAGTCTGTTGTTGAACACTTTTAATGTTTACAACAATACTTGTTGGAAATTCACAATCATAATCAGCAAAATTCTTGTAACATCTAGGTAACTGATTAATTAGAAATGAATCTAATTTGCTATACATACTATCATAAGTAAAATTGATCCATTTATAGAACATGAAGTGACCCAATGAGAATCAATAAAGTGAATCTATACTGAAATTCTATCTGTACTGACTGCCTTAAATCCATCGGTCTGTGACAAAAAAGTATCTTGCAAACTAATAATATCAGGAAATAGCTTCTTTATTATCAACTGAGCAAAATTTATATGTTCGTCAGTCAACTCTTTTCCGTCTAGTATAACCTTTTTCATTGTCAGTGTAAAAATAGAAAGTTGCTCAGATATAGATTTAGAATTTTCCTCAGAATTATTTTGGATTATTTCAACAATTTTATTTGGAACCATATTTTCAGATTTTGGGTAATAAATCTTCAAACGAGTCATTGTATACTTGTTTTAATTTCTTATTACAATCATTTGTATAACATAAACGAAAAGTGTTCTTTTTTAAAATTTGGCAAATTTTGTATGGGCCTGTCCAATTTGGCTCCATCTTTGAACCTTTTCTGGAAAGTTTTTTACTATTTTTTATTAACACTTTTTTTTTTTTTTTTTTAATTATCTTCGCTTCCACCAAGGTTGCAAGCAACCACTAATTAGTGTTGGAAGTTACTGGAAGAGAAAAGATGAAGATTGTAGAGCAAGATAACGATTGACAGACGACTTAAAATATTGCAAATTATATGAATCATGAAAGCAAGATGAAGGAAGCGAATTCCAAAAAACTGATGTTTGAGGGAAAAAACTAGGCAAATAAGAGTTTTTGGAGCACTTAGGAACAGTAACAGAAAAATGATGAGACTTAATTGAATGACAAGTAACACGAGAATGAATTTTAGTAGATGGCACAAGAGAGGCTAGCTTTTTAGAGCAGTGCCCATTATAGTATTTGTAGAAAAGAGAAAGAGAAGCAATATTATGATTATGTGACAATGGTTGAAGGTTGGCTGCAAGAGCAGGTCCAACTGTGCTTACATTTTTGCACCTTGACTAAAAGAGAAAGGGCATCACTAGAAGATCTGCACCAGATATGGCAACAGTATTCCATACAAGGCCGGATTTGAGATTTATAGAAATAGAGAATAGAATTCAGAGTTAGAAAGTGTCAAGCTCGATAAAGAGATGCAACTTTAGCAGATGCTAATTTTGCAATGGATTTGATATAAGGTTTCCAAGAAAGATCAGAAGTAAGAGTTAATCCTAGAAGATGAAGGGTAGATGACTCATCGAGTACATTACCGTTTATAAATATAGGAAGGTCTAAATTAAATCAACAAGATTGTTGTATTCTTCGTCATCCATATTTAAAAAATGATATCAAGAAAGTTAAAGAGAAAAAAAGCGGCAAATTTTCCTGCAAGCAGTAATTTTTCCTAGGACATAATGCAGTTGAGCATCAGGTTTTCGTAGGAAATTATTCCGCAACCGCAAAATTTCCTAGCAGCAAAATTTTCTGTGACATTGTCGCTACTCAAAGATTCCTTTGAGTAGCAACCATGTTAATTTTTAAAGAAAAAAAAAAGGAAAAGGTGAAACCTTATGGGGAGGTGACAGCTTGTTTGCTAAAGCAAGTCTGGCTACGTTTACAATACTTTATTACACTTTGTATAAAACAGCAAAAGTATTATTAGACCTAAAATATAACAATATTTTATACAAAGACAGATAGGAGATTTGTTATAAAGATATCACAGTATGCTGTTAAAAGATATATATCAATGTGCTGTTATAAAGATTTGCCATTTTACAGTAATCACTTTATAATACTTGGCAATGTTTTATGTTTTAAAAATGCTGGGTTCTGTCTAGTTTAATTTTTATAAATAAATTATTTTATAAATATGAAAATGTATAATTTTTTTTTTATATACAAAGATTTTATATTGCACTAATATTAATACTTATTTTTTATATTTTTTATAGGTTGCACATTTAAAATTAATGATGGTGTTGGTGCAGGAGAGGTGCATTTAGGAGCAGTGAAAAATGAAGCAGAATGCGTTGCCAAGTGTTTTGAACGACAAAAAATTGACCCAACTATTAATGGTGTGACTACTGATTTACCTGGTAAAAATTGTTATTGTGAACAAGGAATGACATCGCAAACAGGTGGTTCTTCATGGAAAAGTTGCTATATTCCTCTAAGATACAGTGAGTAATTGCTTCTTGATTTATTTTATTGTAGTAGTTAATCATAAAAATGGAATGTAATACTAAAAATGCATATCGAGGATGATTAAATAAAATAAATATTTGCAGACATCTAAAAATAATAATAGAATATATATTGCATATTATTGCAGTATTACTCTCAATTGCAGTATTACTCTCCAATATATATTTTTTTGATTTTTGCTTTAGTTGCTTTGTCAAAAACAGAATTTTTGAGAAAAAAACAAAAATACTAATATTCTTTTATAACAACTTTATATATTCATTTAAATGTGACTTGTAATTACAAAATTTTAACATGCATTTGACCAGTGTTTATGGAATCACATATTTAAAGTGTTTTTTTGCTACAAAATGTCAACATGTTTGACCTATATGTATGGAATCACATATGGACGACTTAACACCAAATCAGCCTAAACAATGAATATTTTGAAATAAGATAATTGGTTGCAAAGTTTAGATGATTTTGACAAAAGTTGCTACACCAAATAAACTTAATGTCATTGCTGTCTAATGCATGTAAATATTTTAAGTATAGTTTATTGTTGTTTGCAAAGAAACACTTTATAAATTATTTTTTAAAATATGAACTCATTTTTTTCTATTTTGTTGAATAGGCGGTGTGGTGCTTGACCATCCATATGTAAGATGCTTTTTTTGCTGCAACTGCAATTAGATTACTAAAGCAAGAGTTTTTAACAAGATGGATCAATACATGAGCATAAACTATTAACACAAAATATATCAAATATTTTTTACATTTAAAGAAAATTTAAAGTTAACTGATTTAATTTGAAGTTGAAACAGTGGTGGTATATAACAAAGGCAAATCTAATAGATAGATTGAATTTTTAAAACTGCAACTGCTTTCTAAAATAAAGAAAAAGGTCCTCAACACTAAAAATCTTCCAAATAAAATTTGTCAAATGGGGGATCAAATTAAATTAATTTCCTTTGAATGGGGTTTAGATTAGAGAATCATACTCTGCTTTTCATTTTAATGGTGTTTAGATTAGAGAAGTATACTCTGAATTAGAATAAACAAGGGTATAGGGTTGTCATGACTACTCATTGAATTGTTTATTATCAAAATAATGTTTTATTTTTTAAATACTTTTGTTTTTTGTAATTATTTTAATTTTGTTAATTTCAAGAACTAAGATTTTTAGTTCTCCTGATGCATTTGCGCCTTGGTCTTAAATAACTTGATTTCTGCATAAATAAAACAAATTATTTAAGTGTAGTATTTTCACAGTTTTAGTTTTAATTTTAAATATTAAAACTGGCTTTCATGATCTTCCAGGAACTTTTAGTATCAGGAGTTTCTAATCAATAAAAAAAAAAGTTTTTAAAATAGGAGTTGTGTTTTAGTTTAATAATAAAGCTTTTTAAAATTTATTTTTTGGATTGATTGTAACAGTTTTAGATTAAAAACTTATTTTATATAGGGTATATAAAATATGAGAGCCATTTAGGTATGGAGTACTTTTATATTTTTGTTTGCATGTGTCAGTTAAAAATATGTTTTTTAATTTGAAAGTTACTCAAAAGGTTTTTTCAAGTTTTTTATTTTTTTAAATTGTATTCATTAAAGGATGTGAGTATTTTAATTGAAAACCTAAAGAGCTTTTTTTTTTTTTAATATTCTTCATTTTCTTATTTTCTTTCATTTAATATTCTTCATTTTTAATATTCTTCATTTTCAAGTTTAATTTACTAATTTATCTAAGATAAAACCAATTATTTTGAATTAATAAAAACTAAATATTATTTTGAAATATTCATAGTTAAATTAATATAGTTAGATATAATCATAAATTAACATAAGTAAATGTTACCATGAATATTTGTTATTGTTTAACAATTTTATTACTTTTTTACAATTACTTTTTTATGCTGTATTTATAATAACTTTTATATTACAGGAAATGGAGGTTACACTGAATGGAGTCCATTTTCAAGTTGTTCACAAAGTTGCGATGGTGGTGTTGAGATTCGAACAAGAACTTGCACCAACCCGTCGCCTGTTGGAGATGGTAAAGATTGCCAAAGTATTGGCCCAAGCAGAGAGGAAAGAAAATGCAATGAAGTTTTCTGTGACAGTGGTATATATATATATATATATATATATATATATATATATATATATATATATATATATATATATATATATATATATATATATATATATATATATATATATATTATAAGCTGTTTTACTAACTACTTCTAATAAATTATGATGCAATTTTTGTGTGTTTTAGGTTGTGTTTTTAAAGTGAATGATGGAGTGGGTGCAGGTGAAGTCTTTATGGGAGTAGTAAGAAATGAAAATGAATGTATTGCCAAATGCTATGAAAGGCAAAAAATTGATCCAACTATCAACGGAGTTACAACAGATTTAACTGGGAAAAGTTGTTACTGTGAGCAAGGAATGAAATCCCAAACAGGTGGTTCATCATGGAAAAGTTGCTTCATACCCATAAAGTACAGTAAGTTATCTTTTGTAATTTATTTTTATACTCTTACTCTAGAGTGATTACAAAATTTATATAAGTGGTTATGTAAAGCGTTTTTTTTTTTTTTTTTGAGTAAACATACACAGTTTTTGACTAGGATTGTTCTTATTATCCTAATTAAACCCTAATTCCAAAAATAAACTCTGTTGTGTAAATTTATATTCAAGTAAAGGGTACTTCAAAATGACATTCCCTTTTCAAATGAAAACTTATTTCCACTTTGAATTTTGAAAGAAAATTAACAAGAATGATAAGAAAGTCTGAAAAGACTTTTAGGTGGAGCAGGACATCAAACAATTGTAACTCTGAATAGAGCAGGTATTTTAAACACTGATAATAAATCTGTTTTTTTTTTCAGCAATAAAATTCACAGCTATTATATATAATACAAAAAAAAGATTATTCTCGCCGCAATTTCTTTGACAATGTACTTATTACAAATTTAAAATTAACAATCATTTAAATTTTTATTTTATTTTTTATTTTTTATTTAAAATTAACAATCATTAGACATTCTGTTGGAAAACTTCATTCTATATAGACCTGTACCCGTTGTATCCTATGGCTTGAAAACTTCATAAGACCTTGATTTATGGTTATGAAGTTTTTAAATTATTTTTTGTTTCATTAGGTATAATTTCTGAAAAGGCTTAAGAAACTACCAAAAATTTAAGAAATAAAGTTCCTGAATTGTTGCTAGTCAAAGCCAATGACAGAACAATTTAAGCCAACCACAGAACACTCTGAGTTAACTAGAGAACACTATGTAAAATGTAGTTAATATTCTTGTTGCTCATTTTATTGGTTTTAATGGAATTTTAAAAAATTGGAACATTTTGTAATAAAAATTGAATTTTTTAAAAGAACTAATATTACTTATTCTGCAGATAGTGTTTTTTACATAATAAAATCCTCTACAAAATATAATTGAAAATACTCTTAATAGTTTTTGTATATATGAGATACTATGTAATGTTTTTAAAACATTACACAGAATGTGCATTAAAATTAAATAAAAAAAAGAAAGCCATCTCATTCTACAGTATTGTCTGAAATGCTGAAAAACGATATCTCAGACTTCAGTATTGTTTGAAATACTATTTTTTACATATCTGCAACAAAATGTAATTGAAAACACTATATTCTAAATAGTTTTTAAAATATGATGAATATGTAATGTTTTTAAAATATTACATAGTATGTGCAAAAGAAAAAAAAAAAATAATAAAGCATTTTTTTATTTATTTATTTTTTCCTATTTACTACAGTATTGTCTGAAATCTGTTTCAAAGCCAGTTTTAATCTAGAAAGTGACATCATTTTCTAATTCAACATTTCGATGTTACAAAATACAAGAGGAATAACTCAATATTTAGGCGTTACAAATAACAAGATAAGAAATTCAATATTTAGATGTTGCAAATAACAAAATAAGCCACTTTTAAATAAGACATTTAGACGTTATAAATTACAAGATAAGACATTTAACATTTAAAAAATACTGAAAAAATATAGCTGCTCTCGGTGTAGTCAAGGCGATTTACTATATATTTGAAAACTTTTATTTGGAATTAGCATAGTTTTGTCAGCATATAATGTCCAAACAAGAGCTTTAAATGTTATAATTTTTTTTGTTCTAGGTTTTTATAATATTTAAAGAAACTTTTCTTTTTTATATACAATTTTCAAAACTTTGTAACTGCCCGTAATAGTGAATTTAAAGAACATTTTTTTGAGTCTTTTGATCAATTTCCCTCATTGGCATTAACGCGAATTTAGTTAAATTCTTATGAAAAAGTTCATTAATTTAAAACTCATCCCAGTTCTAATCGGTTCTGACGTATAATAACTATATATAGTTGTCAAAACACAATATTTCTATCAATTTTCACAAAAAATACTAGAATTCTGACCAAGAAAGAGCTTATAATTATAGAAAATTGCCAATAAACGATCAGAACAGATCATATTGTTAAACTATAATGTTCATTTTTCCTAAAAAATGGATTAATATAAAATCTTGTTCAAGTTTAGACGAGTGATTGTGATTTTATGATGATTTTTTAAAAAAAAAATCTTCGGTCTGTTTTTTTTTGCTACAAACATTTATATTTAATGACATCGCAAAATTTATCATTTATCATTTTAATTTTTTTCGTCTTTTCTTAATTCACAGACCAGACCGTTTAACGGAAATATGTCGTAGTTAACAAAATATCATACAGACGCTATAGTATTTTAAAAGTGCCTTAACTTCACCGAGCTGCATTTAATGATTTTAACAAAATACTTAAAGTTGCGTTTTGAAGTACCCCTTCTTTAAAAAACTAATAATTTAAAAAGTTATTGACCTATATAATTTTTTATGCTTGTAATCTGATTCACAATATTTTACTATAAAATAAATATTGCTCTTGGTAAGTTATCTTATTTTACCAAGGTGTCTATTATTACCAAGATGCCTATTTTACCGCACTATTAAATATTTTTCTTTTCAAAGTTTGCTTTATCAATAGTTGCTGTGTTTAATTTATAATAGTTTTTATATTAAAGGAAATGGAGGTTACACTGAATGGAGTCCATTTTCAACTTGTTCACAAAGTTGTGACGGTGGTGTTGAGGTTCGAACAAGAACTTGCACCAACCCTACACCTGTTGGAGATGGAAAAGATTGTCAAAGTATTGGTCCTAGCAGAGAAGAAAGAAAATGCAACGAAGTTTTCTGTGATAGTGGTATTTATTTTTTAACCTAGGCATTATATTATTACACAGGTCTACAAAAAATTTATTGCATTAAATTTGTTACTTGTTCTTACATAATTTTGATACGCTGAATTCAAATCTGGCATTCATTTTTTATGGAAAGCTACAGATTTTTTGCAATTTATATTTTTTTAATTTTGAAAAACAGTAGAAATAGTTCTAAAATACAGATTTGAAACTCATTATAAAATGCTAGGATATACTTTTTAGAATAAAAGTTGTTTACAAAACTAAAGCAAAAACAGAAAGCAAATGAAACTAAATTTAAACTGATTAAAATAAATATTTTTCAAATATCCAAGTCCTAGCAAAGTTATTAACTTTTTATTGATTAATAACAAAATCTTTTACTTTAGTGAAAGATCAAAATCTTTTTTACTTTGTTTTAAAAAAGATTGCAGATTATATTGATTATTTACAACTACTTAATCAGGAAGAAACTTTTGCTTGTTGCTCTTTCATTTATAAACTTTTCCAGTGTCTTCTCGCTTGATGTCCCAGCAGTAGTCTTGGTAACAATCTTCGATTGTCTTAAAATCTTGATGGAATCGCTCTCCTTGCTCTTCACTCACATCTCCGAAATTTTCAGGAAACTGGTCAAGATGACTATTTATATAATGAAGCTTTATACTCATTTTGCATCCAAGATCACAACAGGCTTTCAACATTTTATCAACTAAATCTGCATAGTTTTCTGCTTTTTTATTTTCAAGAAAACTTTTTATAACAATCACAAACGATAACCAAGCCGTTTTCTCTTTGATATTCATAGTTTTAATGAATTCTTTATATAGTCCCCCTAGCCCCCCCTCCTTTTCCGCCACTGACTAAAAACAATCACTATCAGATTTTAGTGCTTTAACAAATTGTTTCATGAATCCAAGTTTAAGATGGAGTGGTGGAAAAACTATTTTGTTTCGACTAACAATCGGTTCATTCAGAATATTTTGCATGCCCACTGTGAGAGTCTTGCGAATGGGCCATTCTTTTTGTATCCAGTGTTGATTTCTTGCTCGACTGTCCCACATACAGAGATAACTTGGAAATTTTGTAAAACCTTTCTGCTGACCAAGTAGAAAGTTAACCATTTTTAGATCTACACAAATAATCCAGTTGTGTTCATGATATTTAATCAAGTTAAGCACCATTTTTATGTCATCGTAAGTTTCGTGCAAATGAACAGAATGACCAATTAGTACAGAACCAAAAAAATTTCCATTGTGCAATATAACGCATTTGAGGCTTCACTTTGAGCTATCGATAAAAAGTCTCCATTCTGCTGGATTGTATACAGAAATACCCAACTGTAGTAGGAGACCTGAAATATCATGACAGTAAACAAATAAATTGACTTCTGAAAAAAAGTCAACAAAAATTTCATCTCTTGTTTTAAAATAAGATACTTTTGCAAAATTATCAAGTAGGTTTTTTTCTTTTATACGTGACGCTAATACTTCTGCTGCTTGTTTAGAAAGTCCTAAATCACGAACTAAGTCATTCAGTTCTATCTGACTAAAACACTCAGGCAAACTGAATTGTTTAGCATTAGATAAGAAGTCTTCAAAATCTGGTAAAAATTCTTCTGTTTCTGTAGCAGACTCGCTTTGCTCATCTTCTGACAAAAATAAACCTTTGAAAATTGGAAATGAAATCTCGTTAGAATGTTGAATTGGTCTAATAGCAGAAGGAATGTTGGGGTAAGTTATTTTTTGTCTCTTAATTTTGCCAACACCACTAGTATCAACAAGATAAAAATAGCAGTCGTCAATATGATTTAGTGGTTCCCTCCAAACCATAGGGACTCCAAAAGGTAAATTATTTCTTTTTCCTTTTGTCCAATCTCGAAGACTTTCTTCACAAATATGGCATACAGCATGTGGAGCCCACTTTTTGGCTTGGTCACCAAGTTTAATATCGAAATACGATTCATATGCTAATTTCACAAAATTAGTAATGTTTCGTCTTTGTCGAACAAGTGCATAGCAACCACATATATAACAAAATGAGGATTATGCTTGCACTTATGTCGATTTGAAAAAGCCATCATAATATATATTTGATCTAATAAAAACAATGAGATGGTTACTTTTTTTATAACTATTGAATAAAAATCAGGGATTATCTTTTTCCGGATATTTCCGGAATTTCAGATATTTTTTCAACTTTTACTTTTTCCGGATATCCAAAATATTTTCAATACATGCAAGTTGAGGTATATATTTTTGTAATATATTTATTTTTTAAGCTTTTTCACTCATCACTTAAAAAAAAATTATGAAACGTAACAAAAAAAAAATTAGAAACAACTTAACTAAAAGCGAAATTAAAAAGAAAATAAGGGAAAACAAGTTCCGGATTTTTTCCGAATATTTTTTCAAAACCATTTTCCGGATTTTTAAAATATGACTAGGATAATCTATGAAAAATAGCTATAAAAAAACATAATTTAAAAAAAAATTATAAATTGAGAATTGCAAAAAAGCAAGAGCTTACCAAAACGGATCTTATATTTGGATTCAGCGTTTAAAAGTACATAAAAATAAGTTTCAAAATCTCATGCAACAGAAAAAAAGTTTTTTTTTGTAGACCTGTGTTATCATTACCAAAAATTCTAGTTTTAATAAAATGCTTTCTGTTCAAGGTATGACAATTTTAATGCAAATGAGAGTTGCAAATGAAAAAAAAGAATAAAAGTCAAATAAAAAAGAAATACAAATTTTGTTTAAGAATTTTTTAAAAAATTAATTTTTTAAAAATTAAGCTGCCTCGATTGTAGTGCCCTACACTGGAGTCTTTGGAGGTCAATTTAATTAAAAAAAAAATTTTTACTACTAATGGTACTTTACATTACTAATGGTGTATAATATAGTGATTTAAAAATAAATAAAATAGCTTTTTCTTTTAGGGATCGTCCATAAATTACGCAACGCTAAATTTATTTCAAAAATAGGTCTCTGCTCTTTTGCGCAGCAATTTTTAATGAAATTTTAGCGATATTTTAATTTTGGGTTTAACTAAATATTCTGTGAAGGAGATTTTTTTGTTTTGTTTAGTTTTGTTAAATTTAGTGTTGCGCAGTTTATGAACAATCCTTTGTAAGAAAATTCTGCCGTGCATTGTGGTATAATACAGTTTTAAATAACTGTATTATTTTTTAAAAATTCTATAAATAGCGAAACTTTTTTTTAAGGAGGGGAAATGGGGAATTTTATTGTAAATACTGTGGATTCAATTTTTTTTTTAAACATTTTCTCAACTGCATCAAAATTTATTTCAAAAAAATTAGTTTTATCGTATTATGTTAGTTATCAATCTGAATATCTGAAGCAGTTTTTACGCATAGCATATCAATTAGATTTACATAAACATGAAATTTCGACGGAAAATGGAGAGATGTGAGTTTACTTTGTTTAATTTTGATATGACTCCGGAAGTTTTTTCTATTTTTTTCTACAATTTGTCAATTTGACAATTCTTCTTTTCTACATCTTTTCATCATGCTTTTTATACAATTTGTCAATTTTCTACAAAATGTCATCAAAAATGTCAAAATGTCAATTTTTTACAAAATGTCATGCTTTTTATAAGTACTAGGACTAGATAAATAATAAATAGAAGGGAAAAAAAAAGTTCTTAACTGACACTTTTTTTTTCTTTTTTTTTTTTTGTCGACAGTTTTAGATTATGCGCCAAAGTACATGCATTTACAGGCAAAAAAGTTGTTATTTTGGCCTTTATCACAAAGGAGGGATAAGTCCTTGGGACTAACCAAATTTTTAAATCTTTTTTATATTATTATTGACTTTTTGTGTGCTAGGGTGCGTTTTTAAAATCAATGATGGCGTTGGCGCAGGAGAAATAAATATGGGAGCAGTAAAAAATGAGAATGAATGCATTGCAAAATGTTTTGAAAGACAAAAGATTGATCCAACTATCAACGGAGTTACAACAGATTTGGCTGGAAAAAGCTGTTACTGTGAACAAGGAATGAAATCACAAACTGGTTCACCTGCATGGAAAAGTTGTTTCATTAAACGAATATCTTGAACGCTTTCCAGTATACATATATATATATATATATATACATACATATATATATATATATATATATATATATATATATATATATATATATATATATATATATATATATATATATATATATATATATATATATATATATATATATATATATATATATATATATATATATATATATTAAATATGAATTCAATTATTGAATAAATAGATTATATAGTTATAAGTTATTCTATTTATTAAGTTTTATTTTTCGCATGTTTTATTCCTTTAAACTTCCCGACATTTTTAAAACAAAGCCTATGATAATATCATGTTCAAGTGAAGAAACTTCCAGAAATGCTGCAAACTTTAAATTTTTACATACTAATACCAATATCAAATAATTATGTTCTGCCAAAAGAAAAAAAATTATTTTAGGAACATAGAAAATACAATGATTTCGGGGCACGGACCCCAAAAATGGCAAATAAAAAAATTTGAAAAATTTTTTTGTACAATCTTATGGTAAATGAAATTTTATTCAAAGAATTCAAAATTTGAAAAAATGTACATTACAGTTCAAAAGTTTTGACCAAAAAACGTTATATTTCTCCTCCCCCTTCCAAAAAAATGACGAGGGTTTATATTTTACATGACCATAACTTCTAAAGTACATAATATTTTTTTAAGAAGCTTGAAAATTCATAATGAATTTCGATTAGGTTTATGAAATTACAAAAATATTTTTCAAATCCACATGTCCCCCTCTTAATCAGAGCAGGTGGCAACAAATTTTGGGGTGTTTTTGTTCTCAAACTTTAATCACAGTTATTTTTTAAACACATTTATCTTTTTATAACTATATGATACCATGTGGTTATATGACTTTGTATGCAAAAGATTTTAGTCTTCAAAATGCCTGAATATCATAAGCCCCTTTATTGTTAATAAACATTTTTTGCTTAGCTTTACTAAAAAGAATTTAATAAAATATAACTTAATAACTACATGTTCATGCTGGAAAAAGTTTCAGCAATTTGTTTACTTCTTTCACTGTGCTTCGGGCTAAGGACAGATATATTAAATCTATTTACAACAGGCTTCATTTTTTGGTGCAAGGCTTCTGTTGATTGTTCATTATATCTTGACAGAGAGCAACTTTGCATATCTATGAAGGCTCCTAGGTGAGAACTTATTGCATGTACTTTCCATGTCACACTGAGGTTTTTATTCAAGAACTAAAATATATAAGTGTATATAAACGAAATATTTAAAGAAAAAGAAGTTATTAAACATAAGTTTATAACATACTTAATTCTGAACAGTATGTTTGAGAATGTTCAAAACTATCTGTAAAGTCTTAGATAAGCTTGTGATACTGTGGATCTAGTGGTTCACTAAATGTACCAGTCACAACTCTGTCAAACTTCCTTAATGTATCAATTAAAAGTAAAACAGCTCTATCTGAATTACTAATGCAAGACTGTTTACATTTTTTAATATTGCTCTTGAAATATTACCATCATATGTACCTTCATGAAAATCTTTCCGTATAACACCAAGGCTATTAACCCATTTTTTTAAAACCTGCTTAGAGGGGTATAATATAATTACAAATGTGATTTACCAAACCCATGAGAAGATTAAGTTCTAGTAAAGGTATTACGGTTATGACTAGCTTCTCAGGATCATCTTCCTTTATAAGACAAGGCTTCACAACATTCTAAGTGAAAATAAATAAAACACAATACTAGGTTTTGTATAAAAAGCTCTTCATTAGATTACAAAATTATTATAAAAATTACTAATAACCTTAAAATTCATCATTTGTTTCTCAGGAAAGCCTGCATCAGCATACTGACGGAAACATTAACTGTCTCCGTCAGTATGCTGATGCAGGCTTTCCTGAGATAACAGTTATCTAAGTCTCCGAAACTTCTGAGATTACCAGATTTTCGAACAGTTTCCCTGTCTCACCAAGAGCAACTGTATTTTACACCGTGAGTCTATTTTTTAGTTTTAAAAATATTTATAAATTAAAAGAAAAAAAAGTTTATTTAAAGAATAAATTGTAGTTATTTAAGTAATTTAAATATTGAATTTCACAACAAAATGTTGATGAGAGTGAGGTCTGATGCCAGAGAATATTTACAAGTATGAAGTTGAAGTTTTTCAATTAATACTGTGAGGTTGCTATGTGTTTCTTGCATATCTTCACAGTATGCTAATACAAGAGCAGAATTTATTCCAGAGTAAGTTCCCCTATCATTCCCATCAGTGACTCTGTGTTGGTTTGGGTTGAACAAGTTTGCAATAACTTTTATTGAACCTCCACCTTAAATGTTTTTATTTTCACATTACTCTTAAAATTTATAATTTTCATTTATTAAAACTTAAATGCTCAAAAATAAAAACCTGAATCTATGCCAACTCTTACAAAGGTATTGAAAAGATCCTGCTTTCTGTACTCATTAACATACTCAAGATATTCTGTATAATATCTATTACATAAACTAAATCTTTTTTTACATGATTTAGTATTCCTTTCTTTTTATCTTCCAAAGAAACATTTTCTAAAACATAGAAGTTCTTAAGTATCTTTGTTTTATCATTCAATTTCTTTTCCATATTACTTTCAAACTCTGTTTTGCCTGAAGGTCTTCAAGAGAACATTTGATTTCAATAAAAAAAAGTCAATTGCAAACAAACAACTAATTTGGAACCACCTATATAGTTTACAAAAATGTTTAGATAGGCTCAACATTTTACAAACATATACAAAGAAAGAAAGATTTATAACACACCAGTATAAAAAACAGCATTCCTTCACCTTTACCCATATCATTGTTTAAGTATATATCTTGGTCATTACTTGGCCTTGAACCTAAACAATAGGACAGTGAAAAATTGATTTTACAAATGAGATATAAACAAGAAACATTCAGATTTTAAATAATAGTGTTAGTAATAATTTTTAAAGAAACAAATTTTTAAAATATTTTACTTTAATATCTTTATTAAAAAGATTAGATGCCAGATTCTTTGATTCTTTTCCAGGGTAGCATTTATGGCGTACACCTTTACCAATAACTTGAAAACATTTTTGACAAACTTTAAAGCAAGCAGCATTTGAACTCTTGCAAACACCAACTTTTCCTGGAATTATTTTATTTCTGTTTTATTTGTCTATTTTTATTTAAAGAATTGTTTGATGAATTTAATTCAAAATAATTAAAAAAAAAAAAGCGTAATATAGAACTTAAGATTTTAGTAGTTTCCCATTTGCAAACTTTGCATTTTTTGCAGCTCCTACTGCAGTAGAAATCGCATAAAGTTTCTTTGTTCTATTTCCGTTTAACTGATGTTGAAAGAGGTTTTCCAGCTTTAAGCAGGTACAGATTTTTTTTACACGTAAGGCATAGTCTAGCTGGATACTTCATAACCTTAATACTATATTCATTATGGCAATGCTTTACAATGAGCTTTTCCAAATTTTCTGTAACCGGAATAGACTTAGAATAGTGTTTTTAGTAAAGCAACAAGCACAGACCAAAAGTCTGTTCAACTTATGAGATTTTTAAACTTAAATTTCCTTCCTTTCTTCGATATTAAATAAGGCATTATAAAACTCTATCTGTAAATTTAACAGTTACTAAAGTATCAAGAGTAATTTTATAAATAAACTTTAATTAAATAAAAATTTAATCACCAATTTCAAACTTTGTTTAATTCTAATTAATCATCATTACCTTTAAATAACTATAAACAAATAATAAATGGTATGTAATGAAGTTAAGCTTATTTTATTCTATATATTATACTCTTTTATATAAAAATTCTAGTGTCAAAAAGACAAATGTGTCCAAAGAAGTGAAGCTAAACTTGAACATGATAGTTTTATAGGCTGGCCCCCTTTAAATGCCTTTTCTAAAAATGTGCCACCTGCAGGATTTTAATTTTTACAGTTTTGTTTAATCTAAAGGTTTCTTAAATAGAATCTATAAAAATCTTTGGGGTGTTCCAAAATCAAACCTTAAGGGTAGATTTCTGACCTGTGTGAAGCGTGCAAATCCATACTTTGTGTATATGTTATTATTACACTTTTTTTATTGACATCGTTGAATAAATAATATGCCAAGAACACATTCTTAAAAAATAAAAGGAGATATTTGCTTGTAACCAGTACACACAAAAAAGAGAAGATCAAATAAACAAAACTTTGCATTTTGTTCTTTACAATCAGCAAGTAACTCTAGTTCAGATTAAAACATTATTATTAAAATTGGCTTATTTAAATCTTTAGTTGAAGAAATAGCTAGTTGCTCTGACTGTGGAAATAATATGACAATGATTTTGTTTAGGACTAAAACTACCATATTAATAAATTGATAAATTGTAAATTTACATTGGTAAATTTACAACTTATTAATGATTATTAATTTAGTTGAGAAAAGTAAAAAAAAAATGTTTTATCAAATTGTTGCACTTATGTTCGGGGCAGATGCGTCTCAAATTTTAGGGCTTTTTGTTAACAGGCTTTAACCATCATAAGTTTTTAAAAAGCATCTTTATTTAACATAAGAATGTTTAGAGTTTTCTCCATGTCTGGTTAGCTAGCTCATACAAAGTTAGTTATATCAAGCACAAAAAAAGTCCTTACCCCTTAAAAAGTACGTACGTTTTTGAAATACGCCCTCCCCCCCCGTCCTAAACTTTTTTTTTTCAATCAAAAAGTTTATGGAAAAAAAAATAAAGTTGGAAGAGGTACCTTAGATACTTTAATACTTATATACTAGATACGACTCAAAAGCTATTTGTTTGCGGCACAGGATCCTAATTTAAAAAATGTCTGCAAATATATATGCAAATATTTATTTTAATAATGTTAAATTACAGATTAACAATGTGTTCGCTTGGTTGAGCAGTTATTGATGTAGACTGCGGCGACGGAGACCGGTGTTCGATCTCCAGTTGAGTCATGCTTTACTTTATAAGGTATTGCGATATCACTACCGAATTATTGAAGTATTAAAAAACACCGAACTCTCGGTAGTAAAGTGTAA